CAATAACCTTTAAACCATGACAGAAGTACACTCCAATCTGTAATCCTCCAAACAGATACAGGCTTTTACTCTTCAACTTGAACATCTTACCGCCGCGTTAACCTCCGTATAACCTCCGTAAGCCCCCTTTTAACTCGTCTTTGGATTCTTCATTCCAGGTCAGTTTCCCCGTAGCCTCAGCCGCCATCTTCTGGATTCTCAGTTGTCACCTTCTCTTAGGTCCTTAAAACGTTTATTGCCCCTAGACCAAGTTGGACTTTATATTTACCTCCTCCTCAGGTTTAAGAAGCAGAGCTTTTTGAGTTTTTTTATGGTGAGAATGAGGATTTTATTGTTCGTATTTCACCTCCATCATCTCTCAATCAGCTAGCCGAGCCAGAGCCTTTTTATGTGCCAGAATCCAAACCTGGGCCCTTCAGCGGGCCAGAACCCAGACCAGAGCCCTTTAGCAGACCAGAACCTGAACTGGAGTCCTTTAATGGGCCAGAACCTGAGATGGCACCTTCCAAGGCGGCAGCAGCAGAGACAGCGTCTTCCAAGGTGGCTTCAGCAGAGACGGCGTCCACCAAGGCTGCTGCGGTGGAGACTGCATCCTCCACCGGCCTTCCTCCGGCCTAATGGCCATCCTCCAGAGACTCTACCTCATCTCCAGTCTCACGGCCGGCCTCCTGAGACTTTGCATTGCCCTTGCCCACCATTGGTGGATTTTTTTCTTATTGGACTCTATTTTTGGTTTTGTTTTTTGTCTGTCCAGGGTGGGTTGCTTTGTGTTTTAAATTTTTTTTTTCCTTTCGAGCCCTCCTCCCGGGTTCCACCTCCGCCCCTTTTTGGACATTTTGAGGGCGTCTAGTACAACATTAAACATTACAGATAACTTTATAATGTGTTTTCATTCAGTGTCAGAGGAGGGCTTATGGGGAAAATGATAATATTAACAATAGCGTAGTTATTATAGTATGATATTAGCGTAGTTAACAGTATAAGGGAGAAAAAAACAATAAATAGCGAAACCGGTTTCATTCTAACACTTATCAGATGCACAAGGCAACATCATTCATCCTGAGAAAATAAACAGAACATCTGATTGTGAGTTTTAATCAGTCAGCCAGACTCACTAAAAACAAATCTTATTTTTCACATCTAAAGAAAAATCTTCAGTGGTGTCAGATATTTAAAAAGAAAGTCCAAACAAAGAAACTGCTGCTGTGACCGATTTCTCAATCATAAGGCCTTCCTCAGCTTTCTCAGCCTCCTCCATCTTTTAAATTCTGGTGAATCTTTCTGAAGTGATTCTGCTGCTACAACAAATCATACTGGTTTCCAACTGTCATAGGACATAAGCAGTGGTTGGTGCTGCTGCATCCGGTACCTAGGCCTTCAGTGGGGCCCCCTCTACTTCTGCTTCTTAACCCCTTGATGTCTGAATATCAGAATCAGAATCAAGACATACTTTAATAATCCCAGAGGGAAATTACTTTTAAATTATTATGTTACTTATATATTGTGTGTATATACATATATATANTTTACTCCTGTGTCCGTCTAGTGGTGTTCTGCATATTTGGGTCGCTCTCCGTGCACCCATCATGACAGAAATTCAATATTGTTTTCATTTACTTATTCTTCACTAGAAGAACAGGATAGAGAGGAAAAGGCCGAGTCAAACCAATCTCCTCTTTGGGCCAAGCAGCAAGAGGAGCAGTGAGGAGCCAGATATAGGGAGAGCGGGTATTAGAAAAGGAAGATGCTGCTGTGAAATGTTTTAATGCATGATCATTCAATTCAATTCAGTTTATTAATAAAGCTCCAATTCACAACACCTGTTATCTCAAAGCACTTTACAGAGACAATGTTCCATCCGCTAGCTCCGCCACCTCCTACCGTTAGAAGGCAGTGAGTCGCAGTATCCCTTCCTCCACTCTCCCTCTCCGGACTGATTAACCATACCTGGCGTGCTCCTAACTTGGACTTTCTGTTCCCCACCTGCAGCTAATGCAGTGAGCCTTTCCTGCCAGTTTGTTGCCTAATAAACATATTTAACTGGTCCTTGTTCTCCAGCTGTTTCTGCATTTGGGCCAATAACCTTTAAACCATGACAGAAGTACACTCCAATCTGTAATCCTTCAAACAGATACAGGCTTTTACTCTTCAACTTGAACATCTTACCGCCGCGTTAACCTCCGTATAACCTCCGTAAGCCCCCTTTTAACTCGTCTTTGGATTCTTCTCCATTCCAGGTCAGTTTCCCCATAGCCTCAGCCGCCATCTTCTCGATTCTCAGCTGTCACCTCCTCTTAGGTCCTTAAAACGTTTGTTGCCCCTAGACCAAGTCGGACTTTATATTTACCTCCTCCTCAGGTTAAAGAAGCAGAGCTTTTTGAGTTTTTTTTATGGTGAGAATGAGGATTTTATTGTTCGTATTCCACCTCCGTCATCTCTCAATCAGCTAGCCGAGCCAGAGCCTTTTTATGTGCCAGAATCCAAACCTGGGCCCTTCAGCGGGCCAGAACCCAAACCAGAGCCCTTTAGCGGACCAGAACCTGAACTGGAATCCTTTAATGGGCCAGAACCTGAGATGGCACCTTCCAAGGCGGCGGCAGCAGAGACAGCGTCTTCCAAGGTGACTGCAGCAGACACGGCGTCTTCCAAGGCTGCTGCGGTGGAGACTGCATCCTCCACCGGCCTTCCTCCGGCCTAATGGCCATCCTCCAGGGACTCTACCTCATCTCCAGTCTCACGGCCGGCCTCCTGAGACTTTGGATTGCCCTTGCCCACCATTGGTGGATTTTTTTCTTATTGGACTCTATTTTTGTTTTTGTTTTTCGTCTGTCCTGGGTGGGTTGCTTTGTGTTTTACTTTTTTTTTTTCATTTCGAGCCCTCCTCCCGGGTTCCACCTCCGCCCCTTTTTGGACATTTTGAGGGCGTCTAGTACAACATACATTAAAGATAACTTTATAATGTGTTTTCATTCAGTGTCAGAGGAGGGCTTATGGGGAAAATGATAATATTAACAATAGCGTAGTTATTAGATTATGATATTAATGTAGTTAACAGTGTAAGGGAGAAAAAAAAACAATAAATAGCGAAACCATTTTCATTCTAACACTTATCAGATGGACAAGGCAACATCATTCATCCTGAGAAAATAAACAGAACATCTGATTGTGAGTTTTAATCAGTTAGCCAGACTCACTAGAAACAAATCTTATTTTCCACATCTAAAGACAAATCTTCAGTGGTGTCAGATATTTAAAAAGAAAATCCAAACAAAGAAACTGCTGCTGTGACCGATTTCTCAATCATAAGTCCTTCCTCAGCTTTCTCAACCTCCTCCATCTTTTAAATTCTGGTGGATCTTTCTGAAGTGATTCTGCTGCTACAACAAATCATACTGGCTTCCAACTGTCATAGGACACAAGCAGTGGTTGGTGCTGCTGCATCCGGTACCTAGGCCTTCAGTGGGGCCCCCTCTACTTCTGCTTCTGCTTCTTAACCCCTTGACGTCTGAATATCAGAATCAGAATCAAGACTTTAATAATCCAAGAGGGAAATTACTTATATATTATTATACTACTTACATATTGTGTGTATATTTATATATATATATATAAACCAGTTGTAACAGAAACAAGGGCTTGCAAAAGGTTCCTGTTCACTAAATGTTCACTAACTGGCACTGAAGGAATGCACATGCTATCTTGGTAATTCAAAGGGTCTGTTGCATATTTGCTACAATGGTTGTCAAGGGATTAATATCATATCATTTTCACATTTAAATGAGATAAACCCCCAATAGTACTTGAATATGAAAAGTAACAAGCGCAGGAATAACTGGGAGAAAGTTTAGTGTGAGGGTGAATACAGAGATCAATTAAGCAAGAAGACAAATCAAGACAAAGGTAAACCTCTACTCTATAACTGCAGCTCTGCCATATTT